CAAACTAAATAACTAAGCACATAGTGAAATCAGATTCAGAGCGACAACTATATAACATTACAACTAAGGATCATGCAAAGTTACCTAAATTGTATATTCTCTTCGTAGTACAAACACAGTAACATTATTTTATTATTGAGATGAAGGAATTTGATACCTGGCGATTTAGAGTGGTGGGATCATGACGACTCCAAAAGAGAGAAAGCAGATTGGTATATGGGCAGACATTCGGGTCAAACTGGATCCGAATCACCTCTGCATGGTCGGTGGTACCGGAGCAAACGAGCTTGTAATTTGGGTCGTGGACATGGCCCTGAGAGTAGCCTACCTCCGTCTTCACTACTCCTTCGACCAATTCCACTCCCCAGACGCAGCCTGCTGCAAACTGGGCAAATTCCAGACCCGGATTATCCGGGTTGTCCAGATCCGGATCCAGTGCTGGGTTGGTTGACTTGCTGCTACCCTCTTCTTTAGAAGCCATTGCTCAATTGTCTTGTTCCTCGTATCTTTAAGACATTAGACATTTGCTTATATAGATAAGACATTAAACTGAACTTGGTCATATAGTCAGTTTAGATGCATTATTATATTACCCATTTAAATTTCCTTTGAAATTTTTTTTATATACGACTTGCAATTTGCATTCATCTTAAATCGGTTGACTGAGCATAAATTTAAGTTTAGTAAATAGGACTATATGTCACTTAACTAGGAATCTATGCTACCTAATAAATGGAATATGAATTAAACAAATTATTTTGAGAAATTTACACATAATACAACTTCTTTAACAATTACTTATAAAAGATATAACTTGTTTTAGAAAATTTCACAAATATAATTTATTACAACTTTCTAAGTTTTTAATTAGATTATTAAGTTCATAAACTCCGAAAATTGCTCCCCTAAACATGGGATAATGGTACAAACAAATTATTAAGTGGTCAGTTACACATTATCTAATTTTTTTAGACTCCTATAATATCTCAACCATCACTGTATTAATCATTAATACAATCAAAGCATATTCACCCTTAAAAGAAACATGCCTTTTCAGTTTTAAATTCTAGAACGTTTTCAAAAAAAATTCTCACTAAAGGCTTCGGATTTTTGCTGCCAAAAGTGTTTGCTTTCCCCAAATATTTTGACAATGTATTATTTTATATTATATATACTATATATTGTGTTATCGTATATTTTAATAACACAATATATATATATATATATATATATATTATATACGTTTAATAATATATACATTATATTCGTTTCCCCAAATTTGCTTCTTCATTAACTCTCCGTCAGCAAAATGTATTTGCTTCCCCAAGTTTTGATATGATGTATTATTGTATATTATATATATATATATATATATATATATATATATATATTATCTATATATAGTATATAGTATACAAACATTGAACTGGAAAAAAAGAAGAAATATTAGTAACAAATATACTATATACAGAAGAAATATGTAGTACTTTATATTTTCTTTGGGGTTTTCTTTGGATAATGATTCTTTCAAAGTATCCAATAAACTTTTGGGTCTTTTTAATTTGGTTGATTAATTTCGCTCAGATAGAGAAATATGAGATTTTTTGATATATCAACGTGGTTATAAGATATTGTTTTAGTTGTCATCAATAATTACAAATCGGAGAATTTTTAGGGGATAATTATGGGATATGTCAATTATGAAAATTTTGTTGGGTTTTTTATCTAATTAGATTAATTAGATAAAGAGGTGTGAATGGAAATGGAGGGAAAAGATTAGGAGGGAAATGAAAAATTTGAAATAATTTCTTTTACTAATGCACTTTGTCCCTCATTGGAAGTAGAAAAGAAAATTTTTGTGCTTATATAGAGAAGCACATCTTCTAGCTCTTAAAAAGTTAAAAAGAACTGATACTTCGCACCATCGTCGTCGCTCGCTCCATTTCCCAGATTATTTGGCTATAAATTCAAAGGTTTGGTCTCACTTTCTGACCACCAAAATTTGCATACTCTCCCCTCTCTCTTCTCCATTTCTGCATTTGTTTTCCAAAAGCAAAAGCGTAAGCATCAATGTGCTTTACTGAGGGGATTAAATTACTTAAGGAAACATAATTTTCTGTTGGGCTCGGGACGTTATTCATTTCATTCTATTTCTGCCTTTGGTTTCTAGTTTCATTTTATTTTGTAGAAATTATATTTTCGAATACAGAATATAACAAGCTTAAGGGATTTAATATTTTTTATAATTTGTGTTCATTTTATTTTCTGCTGTGGGAGACTAAAATCCTAGCGATTTTCTACTCCCGTTTTGGAGATTAAAGTATCCGAGATTAAAATCTTGTAATTTTCTACTCGGTTGTTTGTATTCGGTTTGAAGATATAAAAATTTCATTGACTTACTAATTCTGGTTGTGTCAATTTCTTTTACAGAAAAATAACAACAAATACGGAACAACACAATAGTTCTGCTGCAATGGCTACTGCGTCTTCAAGTCGCACAACTCATGCACCGGAGATGGCACCGGCAGAAAAACTCGAAAAGTTTTTCGGTGTGGACTTTAAGCATTGTCAGCAGAAAATGTTCTTCTACCTGACCACGCTCAGTTTACAGCGCTTTATCAGCGAGGGCGTTCCAGTTCTGGGAGAAGAAATTCCTGAAAATGAGCGATTTGTGGTCACGGAGGCATGGAAGCATTCTCACTTCTTATGAAAAAAATTATATTTTAAGTTGCTTGGAAGACGGCTTGTACAATGTTTATAGCGTCATGAAAACATCAAGAGAGATGTGGAATGCTCTTGAAAAGAAGTACAAGACTAAAGATGCTGGACTTAAGAAGTTTGTAGCCGCTAAATTGCTGGATTTTAAAATGGTTGACGGCAAATCTGTCATAACGCAAGTCTAAGAATTGCAAGTTATTGTTCATGACCACCTTGCTGAAGGTATAAACAGAGTCAATATTCTTATTCAAGATATCGATTATTTTACTAATTATAAATTTATGATTGAAGGTATGGTCATAAATGAAGCGTTTCAAGTTGCGGCATTTATTGAAAAATTGCCTCCGCTGTGGAAGGAATTTAAGAATTACTTGAAACATAAGCGCAAGGAGATGACGCTTGAAGACCTTATTGTTCGTCTACGGATTGAAGAGGACAACAAGGCTGTTGAGAAGAAGTCTCGTGGTAAATCAACAATAATGAGAGCAAATATTGTTGAGGAAGTGTCTACATGCAACAGAAAGAGAAAGAAGTCGTTTGGTCCAAAGAATTACTCGAGCAAGAAGAAGTTCAAAGGTAATTGCCACAACTGTGGAAAGGTTGGACATAAGGCTGTGGATTGTCGTGCACCGAAGAAAGACAAGAAGAAGAGTCAAGCAAACATGGTTGAAAAGAATGATGAAATGGAGGACTTATGTGCCATGCTATCTGAATGCAGCTTGGTAGGAAATCCCAATGAGTGGTGGATTGATTCTGGAGGCACTCGCCATGTTTGTGCTAACAAAGAATTATTTGCCTCTTATGTTCCCGCAGAGCCCGACGAGACTATCTTTTTGGGAAACTCCACAACAACAAAAATTAAAGGAGTTGGGAAGATAGCTTTGAAGATGACTTCGGGCAAAGTTGTGACTCTAAACAATGTTCTTCATGTTCCTGAAATTCGCAAGAATTTGGTCTCTGCTAGACTTCTTATCAAGAATGGATTTAAGTATGTCTTTGTTTCCGAAAAAGTTGTAATAAGTAAGAATGACGTGTATGTAGGAAAATGTTACCTAACTGAGGGCCTTTTCAAGTTGAATGTAATAGCTATTGATATAAATAAAGTTCAAGCTTCTTCTTACTTACTTGAGTCAAATAATTTATGGCATACACGTTTAGGTCACGTCAACTTCAAAACTATACGAAAAGTGATTAACTTGGAAGTATTGCCTAAATTTGAATGCGATAATTTGAAATGTCAAATATGTGCGGAATCTAAGTATGTTAAATATCCTTTTAGGTCGGTTGAAAGGAATTCAAATCATTTAGACTTAATTCACACGGATATTTACGACATGAAGTCAATACCATCTCGCGGTGAAAAAAAGTATTTCATAACTTTTATTAACGACAGTACTAGATATTGTTATATTTACTTACTTAATGGTAAAGATGAAGCAATTGAGGCATTCAAGCAATATAAAAATGAAGTTGAAACGCAACTAAACAAAAAGATCAAAATGATAAGAAGTGATAGGGGTGGTGAATATGAATCTCCTTTTGAAGAAATATGTTTGGAATATGACATTATTCACCAAACAATTGCCCCTTACTCACCGAAATCTAATGAAATTGCGGAAAGAAAGAATAGAACGTTAAAGGAGATGTTGAATGCCTTGTTGATAAGTTCGGGTTTACCCTAGAACTTGTGAGGGGAAGCTATTCTTACAACCAATCAAATACTCAACCGATTTCCCCATAACAAAACTCAATCCATTCCATATGAAAAATGGAAAGGTAGGAAACCCAACTTAAAATATTTTAAAGTATGGGGATGTTTGGCTAAAGTGCAAATTCCTAAACCCAAAAGGGTGAAAATTGGACCGAAAATTCGTAGGATATGCAAGAAATAGTAAGGCATATCGCTTTCTGGTTCATAAATCAGAAAATCCCGACATTCATATTAATACGGTAATCGAATCCGATAATGTTGAATTCTTTGAGAATATTTATCCATATAAATATGAGTGTAAGTCGTCTATTGAAAAATCTAAGCGACCTCGAGAAGAAGAAAAGGAAAGTACGTTTAATGAGGAAAATCCAAGACGTAGTAAACGTCAAAGGACAACTACATCCTTTGGACCAGACTTTCTAATATTTTTATTAGAAAATGAGCCTCAAATATTTAAAGAAGCAATGTCTTTCTCGAAAGTACAATATTAGAAAGAAGCAGTCAATAGTGAGATAGAATCCATATTAAGTAATCACACTTGGGAATTGGTTGATCTTCCTCCAAGAAATAAACCTTTGGGTTCTAAGTGGATTTTCAAAATTAAAATGAAAGCTGATGGTACTATTGACAAATATAAGGCAAGATTAGTTGTCAAAGGGTTTAGACAATGAGAAAGTCTTGATTATTTTGATACATACTCACCGGTAACAAGGATTACATCTATTTGGGTGTTAATAGTATTAGCCGTCGTGTATGGTCTTGAAATCCATCAGATGGATGTGAAGACAACCTTCTTAAATGGAGACTTGGAGGAAGAAATTTATATGGAATAACCTGAAGGGTTCATGGTTCCCGGAAAAGAAAAGAAGGTGTGCCAACTTGTTAAGTCACTTTACGGATTGAAACAAGCACTCAAACAATGGCATGGGAAATTTGATCAAACAATGTTGACAAATGGATTTAAGATTAATGAGTATGATAAATGTGCTTACATTAAAAACACTCCAAATCATATAGTCATTGTATATTTATATATTTATGACATGTTAATAATGAGCAAAGACATTGCAGATATAAATGCTACTAAGCGTAT